GATCAGTAGTGATAAGATGAAAAAAAAAAGCTCGATAATATATATTTTTTCTGTACTTGTTGAACACTTTGATTAACTGAATAATTTGTGTCAGGTTCGCATTTGTTATCACCTGCAATGAGGATTCATACTACCTCTGTCACTGCCAAATATACAAAGATTGGGTTAAAAAAAAAGAAATCCTGCAGGTTCAGGTGTTGTCTCTGAAATGACTGTGGCACACAAGCTATGTTGCACAACCAGCGAGACATAATGTGACATTTCACAGGCAACAAAACATGCAGGAAGAGGATTCTGACCTTTTGAATTTCCAATTTCCAATTGATAACCGCACACACACACAAACACACACACACACACACACACACACACACACACACACACACACACACACACACACACACACACACATGATTTATGATCCACAAGTTACATTATTCTGAGCCTACAAGAGAAAAAAAAAAACACAAAGTGCTGATAATTGTGGTACCTTGGTTAGCATGGTGCCTCTGTAATTCACATCTGTTATGAAGTAACATACCACTTTTAGTTACAGAAAAAAAAAAGAATAGCCAAGGAGCACAGATTGAGACAATACTGCTGTGGACACAGGGTCAAGTATCCACAATAACTGACTTAAGAATACAAAACCATGTAATGATCTTTGAAAGCAATCAGCCAAATAACACACAGCTTTGGAGCCACCAACACTAACTGGTCTGTTTCTGAATATGCCCGGATATGAACTTGACCTTAGTTACTAAGCAACACAACCAACACATTCTTTATTTCCTGTCCCAGTGCCTGAAATCTAACACAAATCAGAAAGTGACATTCACAAAAACTTGAACCCTACCAGTACATGCTCGTCCATTTTATTTTAAAAGTCCATTTGTGAGAACAAATGTTATTCAGAAGGTGCGTCTGCATTCTTCTACACTTGTGAATGGAAATGGAATGCTGCCATCCGCATTTACAAAAGAGCGGTCCCCACCGACTTTGTATTCAGAGTTTGGTCTAGGAGCACTTTTCCAGTGAGTGGTACTGAAACAATCGGTGTGCCACTCTAATCTCGGCTCTGCTGCTGAGCGTTGGATCTGGTTGTATTTGGCAGACGGTCTCCCCTTGTGGTGTGGCATCCTGCAATGGCTCTGGTCTCAGTAGCACTGCATGGTCGCCAAAATTCTGAGGGAAAGGTCATTTATACTGCGGGCAGAGTGGGTGGAAAACACTCAGGTGTCTGCAGGAGAAACTGCCTGTATAATCCTGAAGTTATACATCCATTCAGGGCTGTTTCTTCTCTCAAAGCTTCCCATCTGTGCAGGAGCACAACATAGCAATGTGCTTCCTCCCTTTTCTGTCTGGACTGGACCTAACTAATTTTCCGGTTTTGGCATGCAGGAGCGAGTGACTACATGTTATGTGCGTTGACAGGCATTCTGCACTGTGGATAACTAAAAACAAGTTATCACACATAATGTGATGCGTTTCGGCAGTCCTCAATAAGCTGTGGTTTAAAATTCCTTTCCTCATTTCATACTTATGAGCTGTTCCAGATTACTGTTAACTTGTCTACCCGACAACAACTTCCAAAAAGTGCATAGTCATAAGCAGGAGACAGGAAAATGAAAAATTGATCGCAGGAGAAGACTGCTGAGAAAAAGAGGAGGGCTCTATGGTCTACAAAAATCCTGGCAACAGCACTCACACCATTCCCCATTTCACACCACAAATGTTATGAAAAGATGTTAAGAGGAGTGTGGAGCTATCAAATGTGTAATCAAAACATTTTCTCTGCTAAAGTTCATCTCCATATTCAACAGATCTTCAATTTGCTGTTGGCGTTCTTGATTAAAATTCCATCCTGGATTTTCTTAGTCATATACTGTATATACAGTATGCACCAATTTAAATGGTTGGCATTTCAAGATCATCACAAAATTTAATATGCACTCTAGAATGTTTGCTAAATGTCTTCCCAAATACCAAAAATATACATCATTTTGATTCTATGGAGCAAATATGAACTCGTGTGACAGGCCTGTGTATCTCTCTTTATGGCTGTCATTTCTGTTTTATCTTTTCATTATTTATTCATCAATCTTACATTTCCTTTTGTTTGAAGGGCTTTTTTAAATAACTGACAAAGCAGAGGTAATTCAATCGGACACACACACACACACACACACACACACACACATACACACACACACACACACACACAGAAGAATGAAAGAAAATTTCAATATAAAAGCTGAGGTGATTTATGTCGTGCCCCGCCTTGTTCCATCCAAGCCAAAGTGCTCGGCCCTCAGCCTGGCAACATGTGTCAGCCCACATTAGGTGGACCAGTGAACAATGGTCTCAGCCAGGAGCAGGTGGTGCTTACTTCAAACTCTGAGAGGAGGCTTTGCATTAGTGTGTGTGTGTGTGTGTGTGTGTGTGTGTGTGTGTGTGTGTTTGTGTTTGACAGAGAGAGAGAGAAAGAGAGAGAGACCCGTCTATCTGCCATCTGGAGCACTGGGACAATCCCAGGTGAGGCGGAAACTTGAATGTGCTGTTTTCTATCAGTTCACTGAGCGGCCTCTCTCCTGGATCCAAAACGCTTTTCAGAGAAGAGCCACAGTGGTTCCTCGCTACGCCTCTAGTGATGGCACACACCAATTTTGAGAGTGTGAAATGAGCCATTACAAGGTGTGCAGTCCCCCTCTTTCACCACATCCCCCTTACCTTTTAAAGTGGACTGACCCAAACTGAGATTGGTAGGCCAGATCAAGTCGAGTTTATTTATAGTGTAGCCTCAAATACTAAACAGGATCAACTATTTTGGGTGACACACGGGACCCTGTTATGTGTGTGTGTGTGTGTGTGTGTGTGTGTGTGTGTTTACACTCATTTGCATTGTGTTTATATGAGAGAACAGATCACGTGTCATAGCAGGACAGATTTGAATGACTTCTGAAAAAAATGAACCACGTCATCATGATCTTTAAACTAACTGGAGAAGTAAGACACAATATTTTTCAACTTAAGTACTTTATTTTGGTTTTGCGTATTTTAGTCTATTTTTCTTTGCGTTTGTCTGCTGGGGACGTTCCCAGCTGAGCACCTTTTATTGTGTGATTGACATAGTGTGTTGTTATTAGCATAGGCTCATAACATAAAATAAGCAAAGCTAATTTAATAAATAATGCATGGGTTGTTTTGTTTTGAAGCTGTGGTGTAATGAAGGTAAAGATGCATTCTTAATGCAGAGACCTCATGCCTTACATGAAGACAAACTGTGGTACAGCTTGGGATCACCAAATATATATTTATTTTGAAATATGCTTTTCACTAGTTCTACTCTCCAAAGTGATTCCATGGAGGTTGTAGTCCAAAGCATTTTTTCCAATGACTTACAGTATGCAATCCTTTTAGTTCTTCTTTTTCAATTTTAGACTTGCTCATAATCATCTTTAATGTTTATGTTACATAACAAAGCATCCTTCCTGTCCTTTCTCCGGAATCTCAAACATGATTTAAAGGCCTATTCAGGGACAGGCATTGGAAATTGCTTTGGGACATTGTTGTTCAGTTCTCCATGTATACTACATCTGTCTCTGCCAAATAAATTAAATCAAACATTCTAGATGTTGATCAAACTATTTTCATATGAAATTATCTTTAAAAAAATAATGAATTATGTCTGATTGATAGCCATGGGTGATTATTTTGAATGTCACAATGCATTGCTATCTATATCTCAGCTCTGTTCCTCAGCCCATCCTGTGTGTCACTTCTTGAACACTCAGAGCTGCTACATCCAGAAACACCGCCCAATAACCGAGACAAACATTGAATACCTCAGCCATAGACTGCACACCTCTCTGCCTGCACACTTCTGTCTCATCGACCCAAGTAAACCCGCTCTTTGTCCCTCTATTTCAGTCCTAACAGCTTTTCCTGAACCAACTGTACAGGCCCTTCCCTCCTCTTGTCCCCCTGCTCCCATACACATGCCTTGTCCCCCATCTCATCCCACCTCACCTCTCCACCCCTTTGATTGTCCCTCTGCAGGACAATCTTCAAAGCTCTGTCAGTTGTCAACTTTAATACTTCACAGCCCTCTAACCTGGATCGTCACAAGCAACAGAGCGAAAAGAGACATGAAGCCTTTAAGTTCATGTGGGGGGGGGGGGGGGGGGGGCAGCTCACACCCAGAAGCACGTGTGCATGCTCTTTCTCTGTTTTGAATTCTGAGCGCATCAACACGTCCACTGCAAAAAATGATCATAAGGGTTCCTCTTTTTTTACCCTGATCTGGCTTACATTGATAGAGAATGTTGAGGAAAGGGCCAACTCCTGGAGGCTATGCTTCTCACGCTGTATTTATATGCACTAAAATTGAAAGAAATCACAGTCAAATTGAATAATTTCACATTTTTAGCAGATGATTCAGATCTATGTCAGTGATCTTCTTCTCTGGTTGCTGCTTGAGAAGCCTCTGCACTGCTTGCTGAGAATTCCGCTTTAACAATGAACTCTGCTTTTAAGAAATGAGCGTAAATAATTATGTTTACTTTAATTTACAGAATAGATATTTTCACATTTCCTCTCATCTTCCCACCTCTCCACGGTTTGCTATTTTTGTGTTTAAATGTGCAGTTTGTAAATGTGTTTATTAGAGAGTTATACCTTTATTTATATTACATTTGGTTTCATTTGTTTTGCAAAAATGGCATAAAGCGAAATTCAAAAGCAAGTTCTTTATTTCTAAACTACAAAAAGTTAAATGCTAAGAGGGATAATCATATAGCATTGACATTTGTATTACTTTAAGTATTTTTACAGTCACTAAAAGTAAAAAAAAAATGATGATTTTGATATTTCTTGCAGTGTGTCTCACACGCTGACCCCCCCCTCCTCGCCTCTTTCCCCCCCATTTCGCTTAGACTCGCGTCCTCGTGATTGGCCCACCTTCTGTGTCCGTCAAAGCTGCGTGGGCGGGACTCAAACAGTCCACTCGTGTTCGCTGCTCTGTGGATTGTGCGCCACAGCAGACCGGGACCGGGGCAGACAGTAGCAGTAACGGCAGCAGCAGCATATTGTGTGATACCGGAGGACTACTCTACCCACTCCCTGAGGTTTACTGCAGTTGTTTGCAGACTCAAAAAAAAAAAAAACCCAACAGAACAGCGCAGTGCACCTTTGCGCCGGTGCATCTCTGAAATTACCCAGACTATTGTTTGGCTCAAGGAGCGATATTATTTCCGCGTTTTAAAGCTGCAAAGTCGGACCGTGAAGTCGGTTGTGTTATCCCCCCTTTCCAAGAGACGCACAAAAGACGCTCGCACTCCCAAGTCCACCTGGATAGCTGAGGAAGCGGTCCGGTCCGGCTCGAGGTCCAGAGGGGAGAGACGGAGAGGAGAAGTTAGCGCAGAAGGAAAGAGGAAGAAAGAGCGAGAGGAGGCAGGATGAATCTCAAGAGCAATTTGATTTTCACCCTCTACACTATTTACGGGATTCTACTTAAAGGTGAGCCCGGGCTTGTACTTGTGCTTTACGCGTGTTTGTGTTGGTGCTTTGTATATGTGTTTGTGTATACAGGCCAACAGCAGGTTCAGGTCCACGCGGGTCCTGGCTGGAGGATGCGGAGCTCTCTCTCTCTCTCTCTCTCTCTCTCTCTCTCTCTCCCCCCCTCCCCCCCCTCTCTCTCATTCTTTCTTCCTGTTTGAGTCTCCCATTCTCATGTAGATGTGCGTCTGTGCCTGCGCGCGTGTGTGTGTGTGTGTGTGTGTGTGTGTGTGTACGTGCGCTGAATCTACGTGCGCATGCAAACGTGCGTGATACCATGAGGCGAGAGAGAGGGTTTTGTCCTGTTATACTCGGGACCTCTTGGATGTGAATGTCCAGGAATGAAGGGGACCCTATTTTTTTTTTATAATTGCATGCTCAGGACACGACCTAAAGCCACACAGGCTGGCGTCTCTCTCCCCCCCCCCCCCCCCCCCCCCTGTGTTTACACATCTCAATTTGACTCCCATGCACGAGGAGGTAGTGAAAAAAAAAGAGCCCGCTAGGAAGACACACCTCAACGTCAAATAACCAACCCCGCGGTTGTTTTTGACTCGCAGCACTTGGATGAGTCACAGAGAGACTGGCAGCGTTTACGCACTGAGCTGATTGATGCTTTTTGAGTAAGACAGAACACCGAATCACACAGACACAAAAATGTATATTTTTTATTTTTCTTGTGTAATATATCTCTCCTCTGTTGAGGTGCGGCGCTTGTGAATCGCACAGTCTGCCCAGGTGTGCCAGCTTAGGGCGTCAAGTAAGGGCTATGGACATGAATAAGTTGTAACAGATGTACAGGCCTGATTTGAATCAAAGAAAGGATCATTTAATTGAAAAATTCCTGCTGATATATTCAGATCTGTCCTCCTCTCAGGTAAAGCTTCACTTTACAAATATCTTCAGCTTGATGATTCTTGTGCCTGGGCTCGAGTTCGCAAAAATGAAACTGAATTCGGTGACAGCTGATCAAGTCTGAATGCAAAAATCCTTCTTTTATGGAAGATCACACAGCAGAAAGCGAAGGTGCGTTCAGGCCACGTCGAGGACCTGACTGTAAACAGGAGATTAAGGTGACATTGGGGGTCAAGGTCACAGTGGATATATATAATAGGAAGCTTCAGAGTGTTTTTATAGTGATGCATTAGTGTAGAGATAGGATAGATACATAACAAAGTAATAGCTTTTGTAATATAAAAGCATCTTGTGCATTGCTGTAGAATATTCTTATAATGGGAATGAATTCCTCGAGCAGAAACTTTGCAGCCTTGTTCTAAAGTGGAATGCATTAATTTCTCTTCCAGAATCGCTGCACTTTAACGAATCTGATAGAAAGTGGCATGAGCACAACCCAGTGGTATTTTTTTGGTTGTATTTCATTCTCTGTAAACTGAACACAGTGTATAAAACATTAGGAAGTAATGGATAGCGTCCAAGTCCTATAATGGATCCAAGAAAAATGTAGCACAATACAGATTTATGTTAAAAGTTGTGAAGGGGGGGCACATCTTCTTGAGTTGCCTTCACCCATGCTGTGTCACAATAGCAGGAGGGTGATGGATTCACTCTGAAACAACTGTCTGCCTAACAGCAGGGCCACATATGCCACGCTGAGCATCAGTTTTGCGATATAAAGTCCAATTGCTCCCACCCTTGAATCATATCAAGCAACGCACTGCAAATTTATCCACATGAAAACTTGGCTTTGACAGCCGTTTTCCACACGAGAATGTACGATGAGAAATCCCAGATGAGGGACCCGCTGCACTTGAATCTCTCCAGCATTCTTTTTTTTTTTTTTCTATTAGAGATGTGTGTGTGTGTGCGCGTGCGTGCATGTGTGTTAGAGAGCAGCCATTTCTTAATAACCAGACATGATTAAGGCTATTCTTATCATAATGAATTGCTATGTAATGAGGTATCTCAGGGTGTCTGATACATCCTATATAGCAAGCACTGCAGCATTTATTGACGTTCCAGAGCCTGCCTCTTCCTCTGTATCCTCCTAAGGGCGGCACACTCCTTATATGAGGGCGTGTGCGTGTGTGCGTATGTGTGTTTGCATATATCCCTGCAAATGTGTGACCTGTTCGTAGAGCTTACGTTTGAAGAGGCCTCAGCAAAGACATAACAGCAGAGCACACTTCGGGGCTGGTTTGATGTGTGGTTTCCTTCTACACACACACACACACACACACACACACACACCATACGCACACATCAGTCTCTTCCTCTCTCTCCCTCGCACTGAAGAGGATAATGCTAGGCTGCTTGATTTGAACAGTCATCTCTCGGTGCAAGACCTATTATTGTATAGGTTCCACACAGCAGGCAGGTCAGCCTCCTCCTGAATGAAGTCTACCTCGCTGAAGCCGTATCCTCGCGCTCTGTAAATGACAGCTGTTTCAGCCCCTCTGGCCCGCCGCCAGCTGGCATCAAGACATCCAGAGACACTGAATCTCTGTCACCAACTAGACCTGCCCGCGCTATATAGTGTGAATGTGAAGTGTTGTGATGGAGGTTGTTGTTTACCAAACAGCCTGAGTTGTTAACATATTATCCGGTGTGTCTCATGTGCTCGTGCCGGAGCCGGAGAAAACAGCCTGTTATGCAAATGTACCCTCTTACGTAAAAGCTCGGGGCTGAGCGGTAGGCGAGGAGGGGAGATGCAGGCAGAGAGAGAGAGAGACAGAGACAGAGAGAGAGAGAGAGAGAGAGAGAGAGAGAGAAAGAGAGGGAGAGGGAGATGTTCTAGAAAAGAGGAGTTGATGTAAGAGTAAATGTGGGTGGAGAGGTGTGGAGGAGGAATGTGCAATCTCCTTAGCTAAAGTGTGCGCAATGTGCCCATGCCTGTTTATCGCCGCTGCTCTCTCTCTGTGTCCTCTGCGTCCTGTCACTCTGCCCGCCCGCTAGTCCGCCTGTTTTGAACTCTGATCTTGCTTGCCTAAATACAAACCCCTGCTGAGGGATGTGTTTATCCCCGCAGTGAGTCTAAGCCCTCTGGAGGCTGACCCTCCATCCCTCTGTACTTCCGTCCATTCCTCCCTCGCTTCATCCTCCCATCCTGGTGTGGAAGCTTTGTAGCACAGCAGCGTGGGAAAGCTTCTGATAACAAGCAGCCTTGTGTGTGTGTGTGTGTGTGTGTGTGTTGTAAAAGTGTGTGTGGTGTTTGAAGAGACACTGATTACACAGGAGAAAACAAGATGTTCTCTCTCTTTCCTGGTCCTCTGCTCTCTGCCTCCTGCTTCTGTGTGAGAGAGAGTGTTCTATTGACATTACCATGCTTTGACAGGTAGAACATGTGAGGATCTACGTACCTCAAACCAATGCCATGCTGACACACACACTTACACATCACACACACACACACACACACACACACACACATGGAACTCCACTGTGGATTCATTGCTGCACTGCCAGGGGATTTCCCATGATCAAAGCCAGTCTTTTGTTAGTCCAGGTGTTAAAAATAAAGTTTGAACAGAGAGGAGGAGGAGGCTTTAAGTACATGGCAAGTATTCGGAGCTTACAAGCTCTTTATGGCAGAACTGCTCCAGGAACGGTTACTGTACGGTGAACCTACCACCTGCTTCCAAATCCTGTATCCAATCAGTTAACTGCTGAACATGTAGCTTGGAAATGTGAAATAAAGCAAGACACGCTTAATACAAATGCTCATATGGTGGGCTTATACATACAGATACATTTAGACAGAAGGAGGCAGAAGGTCAGTCCATGCTGAGCTTAGTACACGTGTAATCACAGATGGCGGTGAATCACAGGTGGCAAAAAAAAACTTAAACCAAGCAAGAAAACATGGAGGGGTTAAAAAGTTTTAAGCGTCATGCAAATGTCTTCCTTTGTTTCCCAGTGAGCCGGTGGAAATCTCCTATGAGCGTGTAAATTAAGATTTATTCAGTGACACAACACAGACGGCAATGCCAGACAGATAAGACAGCGTTTTGTCAGAAAATCTTTTTCATAGCGTCGGATTAGAAGGGTTAAAAAATAATTCTTGAAATCAATATTTATTTTTGCTCTTCTTCATTTTGTTCCCATGTGTCATACAGAGAGAGAGGGTGAGCTTGAAGAATGGAGGGGTAAATAGAAGAGCTCATCATTTGCTGTGGTATTTAATTTAACCTCCGTTACTGAGAATGAATCATTTGATCTAGAATTTTCCCAAGCATACCAACATTTTTTTTGGATTAAGTGTTGGTGGGTTTCCAAGTATAAGTGTTCAATTTGTGGTTGAACTAGTGTTGTAGTCAAGACCACACCGACCGAGACCAAGACGTACCCGAGACCAGAGTGCTCCAAGACCGAGATGAGACCAAGACCGGGACCATAAATATCAATGAAACATCATCATCATGTGTTTAGCAGGCGTGTCACTCACGTAGACTGTAACACCAGGAAGGTCAAATTATGAATGTTTTGAAGTTATTAGTTTTTTTTTAGAAAGGGGCGTTTTCCTTCTAATCAAAGTAATTACATGGAAAAATAATATCAGTGGTGGTCTTGAATGGTCTTGAGACAAAAATGCTTTCGATTCTCAGAGGAGACCGAGACCTTCAGAAAGTGGTCCTGACACCAAGACCAGTTTCGAGTACTACAACACTAGGTTGAACTATAGTGTGCACTAGCTAGGTAGTAGTTATCAGTGATTGATTCAAGTTGTGTATTTAATTTCGTCATCATTTTTTGTGTATATAAAAATGTTAGAAAAACTTTATGGGTTCAGGAAGGACTTTCTTTATAATTTACATGTTACTATGGCTTCTTTCTTGTACCCCCTTTGGCCTTTCATTCTGTGAAGATAAGCCCAGACATTAGATTCGTCCAGATTATGTATTTCTAAGAAGAAAAAGGCACAAATGTGACTTCAGTTCACTTATCTAGATCTCTCTCTCTCTCTCTCTCTCTCTCTCTCTCTCTCTCTCTCCTGTAGCTTCTCT